ATCGAATCTTTTCACCCAACACTTCCACTCGAAATGGAAGTAAGCTCAACAATTATGAAACAATAGATTCCTCGAAACCCAACTTTTATTCGTACATGTTTGTTGACTCTGGTCCAAGAATCGAGACGAATCATATCTTCTTATCTTTGTTTATAAGTAGGTTTCACGGCTATCAGTAGATCATATGTATTAGGTGTATTAACCCTTTTCGTTTAAGGTGAAGAAGGACTGGTAACTGCATTTTCCTCCTGCCTTGTGTTTTCGTTGAATTTCACCTTGAGGTGTATTTACCCCATTTCGTTGTGGATGATGAAGGACTAGTAGTTGAATTTTCTCAGTTACCGAGTTTCCCTGAGGGTGTGAGGTTGAACCTGAAGTCTATTCCACCTTGTTAGAGGATGGATATGGAGAAACGAAGCTATGGGAAATTCAATGCAAATGTGAGGCCTGCCTAAACGAAATTTGAGTGAATACATCTTTCTTATATTTGTCCACGCAATCTACCGGGTTGCTTAGTTTCGGTATGAGTCTGCATTGAAGCAATCAGTAGGTCTTAAATAAGAATCTAGTTAGCTTAAGTCGTTCAAGATGATTCAAGGACTGATAAGTGAATCCTTATGGTAGGGGTGCCAATGAAACGGAGGGGGGGAGGCGAAGTCCTGACTGCTGTACAGCCTGAATGCAGCTTGGAGTGAGTGAATTTCAATGCTCTCGTGGGGGAAACTGCACTATCTGTTCTTAACTCATCTTAGGCTTCTTGCGGTGACTAAATTATTAATTGTTGAGCTTATTTTCATTTCGAGTGAAAGTGTTGGGTGAAGAGATTAGCAGGTCGGTCCCACCAGAAGACGACGGCGGATTCCTCTCGACCAGCTGTCGATTGGCCTTACTGGAACATTCATGCTGACGCTGTTTCCGAGGTAATCTCCTTCGCTTCCGGTGAAAAGGTGCTAAGCTTTCGTCCGTCATATGACGGACATCATCAGAGCAAGGTATCACCGTCACAACAAAATTCAAGCTAACGAGTCAAGAAAACTCACCGGCAAATTCTTAAAAAGTGGTATATATACTCTACATCTAGTATAAAGTGATTTGGTTAGTTAAGGTCATATGTCAACTTCGATGCCTGTGAGTGTGTCTGTCTTTGTATGTGTATGTGAATCTCTGCACTCAACACTTTAACACGAAATGGAAGTAAGCTCAACAATTATGAAACAAGAGGCTCCTCGGAACCCAACTTTTCTTCGCAGAGACTAAATTCTTATTCAAGCATTACATATGACATCTAATAAATACTGATCCCGGAATCAAAGTTAAACGCACTGATCTATTTTGGTTTGGAGTGAAGAAAGACATATGACCTGAATTCAAATTATGACATGAATTTCCATTTCGAGGGAAAAGTCGGCTGGAAGGAATTCGTGATGCCAACTTTCCCTTCGAAATGGAAAGTCATGTCACAATATTTCACCCAGTTTTTCTTCATATCTTTTGAAGTTCAATGTTTGCCTGTATTCTGGGCCAAACTGCCTTTGCCCAGTTCACCTAAATTCATACCAGCCAGTGGCAGACTCAACCACATGTCTAATATCCGAATCGGCAATGCTGACAATAGCGCAGTGTAGTGGCCGATGCCGCCATTTCCAGCCTCACCTCCACACTGTTGACATATGCCCACGACGGGTATACATCGAAGTGACTAGTTGGAGCTTTTAGTGGGTATGGATTTGCAGACAGAGAACCAGTGGGGAATTTCACTCAGGGTTTGCTACTTCTGGAGAACTTTGCATAGCGTCTAGCTCGAGTCCCAGGCTGTCAAATAACAAACCATCAAATATAAGACTGGCAACCCGTCTAGACAGTGGTAAAAAAGATGGGGACGACTTGGATCGATTTTAGTGTTGAATAATTCCCCTTTTCTTCAAATTAGCAACAAGAATTTGCATCACACATGCTCATGCAAGACTATGTGGGTATTAATATTTGACTTTGCCAAATTGGAGTGAATAGAGGGCTTGATGATGCCAATGAATTTGCCTCTTGTTTTGTTTTAAAAATGTTTTCACCTCCGAACTGATCTTTGGACTCAACCTCATCCGAAATTCGTCAGCACCTAAATTCACATGTTTGATGGGATTGGTGTCGGTAAGGAAAACTTGAATTCTACAAATAGTGAGCAGTCTACTAGTTGAATAAACCCCTTGGTCAATGACTACTAATCGTTCGAAATAGACTGCCATATAGAAGCTCCCATTGTAAAAAGAAGACTGATTATTCTTGAAAATCGTATTTTCGCAATTACCCATTAGAAACAGCAAACTGGTGTAAATGAGGCCCAGGTGAGGTAGAAACGAAGGTTCAGTACAGTGAGGTCTGCCTAGTTAATTGTGACAAAAGGCAGTTATCATAGTCCTGCATCGTTTTAACACAACGTAAGCTAGCTAAATTAATTTTTCCCAGTTTTGAGCTTACTTACATTTCGAGTATCGATTCCATCAGAAGACGACGGTGGATTTCTCTTGACCAACTGTAGATTGGCTTTACTGGAACATTCATGGTGACGTCGTTTCCGAAGTAATCTCCTTCGATTCCAGTGAAAAGGTGCTAAGTTTTCGTCCGTCATATGATGAATATCATCAGAGCAATGTAGCCTCTTTGATCAGATATAAAGTGATTTGGGTACTTTCACTCGAAATTGAAGTAAGCTCACCACTTATGAAACAAGAGGTTCCCCAAAACACAATTTTTCTTCGCATAATTTTTCCCACTTGTATTTGCCAATTGGCTCGACGATATTGTTGAAGGAGTGGGTTGACATCCAAACTGTTTTGGAGTGCTAAAGTCGTGGGGTAACTTTAGATACAGTCTAAACCTCTTCAGATTCACATTTATATTGGGTTGGTGTCGGCAAGGCAACATGAATTTGATAAGTAATGAGCAGCAATTTGCCTCTTAAATAGGCATGTTGTGACTCGGTAAATGTTACTGGCAAATACAAATTTTGTGAGGTCAGAGCTGCTGTCCGACCTCAGGACCGAGACATCTACCAATTTAATTGTGAGAAAAATCAACTATCATAGTCTTTCTAGATGTAAGACGATACTACCTATGATAGTGAGAGTAGGCTGTGAACTGTGGTTAGATCTGTGTTGGATTGGTAAAAGTGCAGGTTGGGTGTTCGGTTGAGAAGGTGAGATGAAGTGTGATGATGAGACGGTATTTTGGGAAGTAAGGCTAAAGGAAGTTCAATGGTATCGTGACCTCTCCTATTCAGTTTATGATTAAAAAATTCATTTACTTGTCTTCGCCTTACACAAGACCACCTAAGATGACTCGGTTTCTTATTCCCGCTCTACGGCTTGTTTGGAATCCTGTTTATTGGGGGAGTTTTGGTTCACACTTCGACTGTAGACACGACTTTCACACTACTGAAGCTGTGCGCCCCCAGCATGGCAGGAACCTGGGCCACCATCAACTCTGGCCCTCGTGGGTACGGGGGCGGACGCTGTGCCACTGGCGCAACGTGAGGCGCCAATCCAGTCTCGACGACGGGGTTCGAGCTCTAGTCCTTCTCGAGTGGTGAGACACCGGGTCGTCTGCTCACTAGGCCAAGCCTCGTACCAGCCAATCGACACGGTCCGTGGGGATGGGAGCTTCGGGATGTTATGAAGTGAGGAATCAATAGAAAGTCAGTAGTGAGCCCACGCTTCAATATTTCCCTAGATTAGCAGTTAAATTAAAATCTGGCCGACAATCTTTGGGGGATGAATGCGGTGTGAAGGCATGCTAAATGCGTGAAATACTACTTCCGAGCCTGTCTGTCTGCCTCCATTCCCATCGAAACCATTTCATATTTTCGTACCTCCATATGTCCGTCAGTGGGTGTGAATGTGTGTGCTTCTAGTCCTGTCAGCGTCTATGCTGTAGAGGTATTTGTCTTTGGTTGCCTGGTCGACAGGAGCATCACTCGACCTGCCAGCATCAACACCGTCAATGCCAGCATCATCATCATCATCATCATCAGCAGCAACAGTAGAAGAAGAAGTAGCAGCAGGAGGCTGGAGGCGAACATCACATTTCGCCTTATCAAGATGAAGTTGCCACACCGGGGTCTGATGGTGTGTGTACGTGTTTAGAGGGCGGCCGTTGCAGAGGGGTGCATGTGTGGGGAGGTGAAAAGAGTTTCGAGCAGGCTCATGGGTCAGTCAAACCGAGACACCTGACTGTACCAACACCCAGCTTCTCTCAACAGTGTTGATACACACGCATACACACATACACACATACATACGTATATATGCACATGCACATGCATACACAGCTTACACACACTTTACTATGGCGACCAGAAAGACGGGCCTACACAAGAAATGTAATCGAGGCATTGATTTACGATGAATGCGGTTGGCATTTCAATCGGAGCTGGGCATGGCAGCCGATAAGACCGTCCGAGCGCGCAGTCTCCCAGCTTGCCAGCATAACAAGCCTATCGACCAAACGACTGCTCTCCACTTCGCGCATAAGTTTACGCTGGCAACTTGTCGGGTAATGCCGCGACGGGGCGGGATGTAGGAATTAAGGTGCTTCGTGAGAGCATGGATGGGCCGTTTTCGGATGGAGACTAAGGCAGACTACCAACTATGCTTGGACGGACAAGTGGGCAAGTGGGGCAATATGGTCTGCTGGTTGGGCAACTGATGTAGAGGAAGGCTGCTTGTTGGGTCGGTTTGTCCCTTTGGTCTGGGAGAACGGTAGAGAGGTGGGCAAGTCTAGTTGTCGGTTGTTAGGTGACTTTTTTGATTGATAGACAACAGCATTTATTAAAGTAGGTTAATTGAAGGGTTGTTTGTGCTTCACGCATCCCTAAAGTGTGGCTTAGAGAGCGGGACTAGTTGACTGGTATTCTGATGCAATTGGCCAGTCGGATGGTTGGTCTTGAGGTTGGGTGACAGATTGAAAGGTTGGTTGGTCGGTCGGTCGGTCGGAGCCCAACGACACGGACAAGCCGAAGCTTTCCACTATTTTACTAGTGTTCGTATTTTCATTTTTACATGGCAGTAAAAGACTTGGTGTAGAACGTAGTCAGCCCAGGTCGGTTACTGGGATTTTAGGACTGTCAGTTGAGTTTTCCCATAATCAGCTGAGTAGGCCTAACTTTTACTTTGATCACTCCAAATCATGTGACCAAGGCAACTTTTACAAGTTATCATCTGCTCCTCCATGATAGGTCCAGACGGGGACAGGATTACACAAAACACATCATCGGATTACTCTAGCCGGTGTAAGTTAAAAATACGTTCTTCTTCTGTGAAGGTGTGAAACACAAATGTGGATACACTTTGGTTGGCGTCTTGGCTACCGATGAAAGCATGCTGACCTTTCATCTGTCATGTCACTTGGCAGGCATCATCAGATCTACGCCTCATTCTTGCCCTAAATCCAGCGGAAGAAGGCCCAAAAGAAGTGGCCCCCATTTTCGCCGAGATTTCATCTCGCTTGCCCAACTTGCTTATGTTGTCAATGTGACCTGGCCTAAAACACCTCGTCTATAGTCCTGGTAGTCATGGTAATTCCAAAAATCGGACCGTGGGCTTAGTACATTTACAGACGTTGTCGATATCGTCAGTGAGCCGTGCCAGGCTTAGCATCAGGCCACAATTCGTCACCTGCCTTGCTTACGTCCGAAGCCGGAAGTCATCAAGATCTGTTCAGCCAGGTTGACCCTAACAACACAATCAAGTTGCGAAAACGAGGCCAAACCACGTTTTCCTTAAAATGTTTTGGATCTATTAGGGGAATGAATAACGTTGGGTACAGTTTTATTCGCTTTCATGTCAAACATTGTGTATACTATTGTCTGTGTAAGTGTGTACAGATGAGGTTATTAGATGATCGGCGATCAGCATCAGATAATGACAACTTGGGAACTCATCCTCAACTATCTTATATACTTTGAGGCAAATGACTTTTAGACAGAGGTTCATGAAAAGCTATATGAACCTAAATTCAGATTTGCGTATGATGTAGAA